CCATCAATAAATCGTCCAGTAGATGTTTGGTTCCTTGTACTTGTATCATTTCTTCTTGATATAATGGATTTGTGGTGATAGTTGATTCATCACCATCTCTTTTCAGCACTCTCAGTTCACTGGGTAATTCTCCCAACCTTTGATTCCCAATTCTTCTAATACGGGATGCATAATCTATTACTCTTTCTGTTGCTCCTCGAGTGATCCTTCTCAAATCATGCATTCCTGCATTTGCAGATTTTTCTTGATAAGTATTTTGAAGTTCTTGTATGATGAAACAATAGTCCTTTTCCAATAGTCCAGGAATTCCCAGAAGATAGTTTCTGGCAGGTCCTTGTATTTTTTGTAGCACAATTGACTTCAGTTGGTTGTTGGTAATATTACAATCGGTGATGGATAGTTTGAATAAAGTCCACCATTTGAACCAACTTTGTCTGTCATCACCATGAAATGCTGGGATGTTGTTGATTATTGACGTAGTAGCATAAGCGCTGCTGATGGGTACATCTCCTTTTTTCATTTTCATTTGGAAAAATAAAGCTTCTGATGCACTAGGTCGATGCAATTGTTCTTCAGACAGATTGTTCTTCAAATAGTCCTTTTTGATTCCGATCATTTCATTTAATTCACGTCTCTTTTTCTCAGCTTCGTTTTCATTAAGCTGGGCCAATATTTTGGCTTGCACTCCTTGGTTCTCCCGACTACTAAGAACGTATCGGACGTGTGATCCGACATCAAGAAGTATATTTAGTAAGGTCTTAAAAAAACTCCGAAGTACTCGGAACTCGTTTAACCAATCACATTGAAAAGAACGAAGGCACCATAGTCGACGACGATTAAGGAAAAAGTGTAAAAGATAGTCGCTTAACATCACTAATTAAAAAGGAAGTCGAAAGACGTGGACAACGACTGCTGAAAGGCGAGCAAATTCATTGAATTCTGCATACGCGTCAGCCATCTCTTAAGGATCGACTGATTTTCGAAATGGGATATTTTTCTCTCAATACAGAGTTTCAAGGGATCTCTTTCTCTTTTCTATAGAATCAAACAAATTTCTCTTTCAATTAACTTCAGTGCACTCTTTCTTCTTTTTCACTCGAGTTTTCCTTCTAAGAAATCTTTCTCAGAAATGTGGAGAATTTTTAATTCACTCCACTCTTTGCTATAGTCTTTTTTAAGCACTCTGAGACGTCTCTCAGGGCTGATCACAAGTTTTTTCTATCCTCGGCCTTTTTTCCACAATTCTATATATTCTCAATAGTTCCAAAATTCACATACACCAGGTTTTTTCCTTTTCACAATATTTTTATTCTTTCCCAAAATTTGAAATAAAATATAAAAACACTCCTGGGTTTCTTTTACCCTTCCTGTAGTGCTATTCAGAACAGTTCGTAAGACTACGCTCTTTTTTCAGGGGTCAAAAGAACTTTCTGGCACCTTTTTCAGGTACTAATAAATCCTTGGCTCACAACCGTTTTGTCCGGGTCTTCAACTCACAGGTAAAAACCTAGAGGAGACACAATCCAGACCTAATTTGCAGGTGTCCTTTTAATGACGGGGATGGAGATGATCAGGTCCACTGTTGTCAGTTGTTTCTTCTTGGCACTTTTCAAAAACTCTTTCTAGTCTCTGTACTCGAGTTATTATTTTTAACTTTTTGTTTTAGTGACCTCTAGTGCTTTTCCAGCACTCTTGACACGGGAGAGTGTCGCGAAAATGGGTGTATTTGGGCTGGGGTGCTTTTCAGCAAAGCAATGGAAATTGACTCACTTTCTTGCACACTTTTTGTATACAGTACTTGCGTTGAGTTGTCTTTTTTCCCGTCGTGGTCCTTGGGGTACTAGGTTGATTGGTTCTTGTGCTTTTTTCTCGCGGAGAGGAGACGACACGGCGTACTTGCTCTCGAGAACGGAATTTGAGTTCACAAAGTCAAAATATAAATTCAATTCACTTCAATTCACTTGCATACAGTATTGGATATATATGG